TTGCCTCATGCCCCTGGGTTCTCCTCACCTCTTTGTAAATGTTTTGAGTCCACCGTTTCCTGGAGGAGCCCTGGTGACTCAGTGGTTACGGCACTTTGCTGCTGGCTGAAGTTGGTGGTTCCCACGCAGCCGTGGAGACTGGACACCCTGAGGGCCGCTTCCCCTCTGCCCGTGGGCTCCCTGCGTGTTGGAACCATCTTAACAGCAGTGGGATTTCTCTTCCCTGATCTTTCTCACGTGGTAACTCCCTGGGGTCCTCGGTGGGTGCGACTGACCAGCTGAGAACTTCCAGGTTGGCAGTTCAAACCCTTCCCCAGGTGTGGAGGAAGACACGCTGGGCAGGCGACTTTTGTAGATCTTTGTCATTTTGTGTTGGAGTCGATTCCAACTGAGAGCGAGCCTCTGTGACCGAGGAGTGGGGTCCCCTGGGCTGTCACCTCCCCCGAACAGGCCAGCATCAGGAAGGTCCTTCTGCAGCAGAGCTGACAGATGGATTTGAACTGGCGACCTTTCTACTCTCAGCCAAGTGCCCATTGCACCTCTTGGATTCCTGCCCCTCTGCAGCAGTTGCACTCTTTTGTGTGGGGTTGTATAGTCTGTCACGTGGGGCTGCACTCTCTCGCGTGGGGCTGCACTCTGTCGTCATGTGGGGTTACACTCTGTTGTGTGGGGCTGCACTCTCTCATGTGGGGTTGTTTAGTCTGTCGCGTGGGGTTGTATAGTCTGTCACGTGGGGTTGCATTCTGTCATGTGGGGTTGTATAACGTGGGGTTGTACTCTGTCGCGTGGGGTTGTATAGTCTGTCATATGGGGTTGTATAGTCTTTCACGTGGGGTTGTACTCTGTCGTGTGGGGTTGTATAGTCTGTCACGTGGGGTTGTATAGTCTGTTGCGTGGGGTTGCACTCTGTCGCGTGGGGTTGAATAGTATGCTGCATGGGGTTGTATTCTGTCGCGTGGGGTTGCAGTCTCTCATGTGGGGTTGTATAGTCTGTTGCGTGGAGTTGTACTCTGTTGCATGAGGTTGCACTCTGTCGCGTGGGGTTGTATAGCATGGGGTTGTACTCTGTTGCATGGGGTTGTAGTCTGT